TATTTTATAGCCCCCCGGTTGCTACGGTCCTGAACAAAGGAAAACACAATATCTACGAGATCGGGTTGCATAAGACTACGAACAAACACACTTTAGATAGATAATCTGGCGACCAAAAAGTTGTCACATAGAAAATTTGCACCTTACAGCCGCCAATGCAATAACTAAGTTTTTATAAACCTTTTATTTACTACCTCGAAAAACTGTGTCGTCTCGATCGCCTGAGCTGCCACCAAGGCATAACACGAGGCACAGTTTCCTTGACTGCGGACTTGTCCAACAGCGCCTTAACATTAAAAACATATTCATGTGAGAGACGTGTAAAATAGTCTGGCTATAAACAGAGAGACAGTGGCGGCGGAACGGGGAAGGGCTAGGGGGAGCTATAGCCCCCCCCCCCCCCAAAAAAAGAAACCGAGTAAAACTTCTGAAAGTACGAAATTAATACTTGAAAATAGGCAAATTTAGAGAAAAAAATGAGAAAAAAGGAATATATTAGGTCTGATGTGCTAAGTGCGCAAAGACAAACAATATAGATATGTCCAACTATATGAAACAAGTACCAGTGCTATATCTTTAACAGACTGTACATGGGATAATCTTTCCACAAGTCGGAAAAAAACACGAAGCCATAATAACGTTTAAAATTAATAACAAGCAAATTCCGGATTATTAACAATTTTTTTTCTAATCCCACAGCACTGGGTATAGCTTGAGAAACTCAAGGGAAAATATATTACATGTACCAAAACCGCACACGAACTATCGAAAACGAAGTTTAATTAAAGTTATGGAATTAATAGACTTTACCGTTTATTCACTTTTCACCCGATGGCCTCGTTTTCGTGTCAAATACTTACTCATGTTTTGTGCTTAGTATATACACCCTTTTCATAAATGGCTGCCGATTAAAAATTCTTTTATGTGCATATAAATTGGCCCAACTAGCCTCGTTTCTGGGTAGAAATTCCTTTGAAATCTTAACATGAGTACGAGGCTAGTTGGCCAATTTATATGCACATAAAAGAATTTTTAATCGGCAGCCATTTATGAAAAGGGTGTATAGGGTTGAAAATTACTTTGTTATTGAGCCTAAGAACAGCAAGAAACAAATTCGTCCAGGAAAAATAAAATAAGTTAAAAAAGAAAAATAAGTTAAGTTAAGAAAAATAACATGCTAAAATAAGTTAACATGGAAACGAGGCCATTGGGTAAAAGAAAATAATCGGTAAGATCTACTCTCCGCAATTCGAGAAAGAAATTGATCAGCTATTTCGAAGTCAATGGACCTTTCCCCTTATAACTAAAATTTCGATCTAGACAAAAATTTCATCACAGCTTGAAAGAGCATCACAAAATTAGTAATATTCCAAAGTTTTGTTGCAAAATCTTGTAAAATGCGGATAATATAGCCTTGCGAAGTTTGCCGTTTTTCAGTCATTTTGTATTACAAACGGGAAATTGACATACGATTCGGGTGTTGGGGCTGCAATTTCCCGTTTGTAATGCAAAATGACTGAAAATTGCAAACTTCGCAAGGCTATATTTTCCTCATTTTACAACATTTCGCAACGAAACTTTGGAATATTACTAATTTTGTGATGCTCTTTCAAGCTGTGATGAAATATTTGTCTAGACTTGCCTAGATCAAAATTTTGGTTATAAGGGGAAAGGTCTATTCGCACTCCCGCACGGCAATCAGTTACTTATTTTAAACTATATTTGTAATTCATTTGTACACTTGTACTGTGTAACGGTGTAACATTAGATTGTATAATTGAAGTTAAGATTTTACCGTGTTTAATTTAAATAAAGCAGTGAAAGTGTAACATTTGCTGTATTAATGCTAATTGTTGCATGGATTTGTAGATGGAAATTTCGAGTGGAATTTTTAAACATTCATCAGACCTAACCAGGAGTAGTTGCGAAAAATGCAACCATAGACCCTCTGGCAGGAATCGAACTGCAGCCCTGCGATTCCGGTGCAGCGCTCTAACCAACTGAGTTACAGAGTCCAGTTGCCGAGTTCTAACCACAAGTTCATGTATATATACTTATTATTAGCATGACAAAATTACTGGATGCTGATTGGTTGAGAGGAGTACAATTATTTCATTAATTGTACTGCAGTACAATTAATAATTTTCCCAAAACAAACAAAATGGCGGAAACGTATTTTAAACACAAGCGTGAAATGAAATTGCCGTGTTGGAACTAGATGAAAATACGAACAAAAGCACCAAATTTTGCTTTAACAAAAGAACTAAATGAAAATACAAACAAAAGCACCAAATTTTAGTTGAAAGTCTGGCAGGACTGGGCTTTGGCAAGAGAATATGATGTTGACATTGAGAAGTACGTATCCAATTTTGTCATGCTAATAATAAACAAGTAATCATGCGATGTTGCTCGTGCAATTAAGGATTAATAGTACTCGTGATGTTTGGAAATTTACCAAATTGGACTCGCCCCGGCGGCTCGTCCAATTTTAGCAAAATTTCCAAACATCACTCGTACTATTAATCCCGAATTGTACTCGCCATCGCATGATTACCTATACTAAGCTGACGCCAATGTTAGGTGTATCACTGGGTAAGTATCAGCATACTGGGCATCTCACTCGATGCAACTTTGTTTGTAGATGGAGTGCAAGAGAGTAGAGGGGCATTGATGTAGAGGGGCGTTGACCAAAAGGGGCACTTTAAGTATTGGGTATATGACCAAAATCAAACGATTTTATGTCCTTCACGAGCCGAACGAAAATGTTTGAAAATATGGAGTCTCTATAATGTCGGAAATGGCCTTTACAGAGTCTTTACTACTGCAAAAAGGGCACTTTCTTTCCAGCAAAAGAGGGCGTTCATTCAAGAAATACTTTTTTCATTCTTTAAATGGGACACTTTAGCTCAGAAGAAAGGGCGCTTTTTTCACTTTAATAAAGTGACATGCTCCCATCCCCCCTGGTTCCGCGGCCCCTGTATTAATTCTTAACTCTGAGCATATTAAAATGTTTCGTATTTTTAAGTTATCGTAATGACAGACAAACAAACAAACAAACATCCGAGTCAACATCCACCAATCAACGTTTGCCAACTTACCATAATCTCTCCAGTCCAAAGTATCAGGTACTCCAGAGATATTAAAAGCACCATCGTTGATTAAACTTTGATTACTGTGTTGATCAATGTATCGACGTTCTTCTTTAGAACCTCTGTAACGTATGTATTCGTCGTCACCGACATCGGCCATGTGATTGGTCGAAAGTTTGAAATTCAAATTCTTACGGTTGGTCGAATGGATAAACCTAAAATTATAAAATAATGTAAACAGAGGCACGGTAAAGCTAACCTCTGTGAATTAACTTTACTTAAACTGGATAGTGTAGTAAGGTTTGATTAGAGCAGTACGTTGTTGGTCATGCAGCATTACTATACGTCTATACAAGTCAATGCCCTGTACGTGGTCTCCGAGCTGGAAATGATGCAAAAGAAATTCCGATCGAATTTCCGACCGATAAAGGATCACATTATTTAGAAATTGGGTGTTTTCTCTAACCTTAAGTTGTGACGAAACAAATGTTTTCTTTTGTTCCTTTCCATTCTTCCTCTATAAGATTTCTGATGACGACGTCTAAAAATAGAATACAGTTGTTCCAGATGTTCCTCCTTGTCCACGTGATGTGACGTCATAAACTCTTGCATGGGATTAGTCATGAGGTGGGAGTCAAGTTTGTGACTCCAGTTGCGACACCACAAGTCTGAAACAGATGAGGAATGAAGAGATCAGAAGAAGATGTGGGGAGGTGGACATATTGCAGAGAAGATGAAGGAGGCAAGGTTGAGATGGTATAGATACGTAACAAGAAGAGATGAAGGAGAGCATGGGATGAAGAGATCAGAAGATGTGGAGTGGTAGACATTGCAAAGAAGGTGAGGGAAGCAAGACTATGATATGGACACGTAATAAGAAGAGATGAAGGAGAGCGTGGGATGAAGAGATCAGAAGATGTGGAGTGGTAGACATTGCAAAGAAGGTGAGGGAAGCAAGACCATGATATGGACACGTAATAAGAGATGAAGGAGAGCATGGGATGAAGAGATCAGAAGATGTGGAGTGGTAGACATTGCAAAGAAGGTGAGGGAAGCAAGACCATGATATGGACACGTAATAAGAAGAGATGAAGGAGAGCATGGGATGAAGAGATCAGAAGATGTGGAGTGGTAGACATTGCAAAGAAGGTGAGGGAAGCAAGACTGAGATGATAAAGAACACGTAATAAGAAGAGATGAAGAAGAGCAAGTCACAGACAATATGGACTGAAGAGATCGGAAGAAGATGCGGGGTGGTAGGCATTGCAGGGAAGGTGAGGGAAGCAAGGCTGAGATGGTATGGATACGTAATAAGAAGAGACATTATGGAATGAAGAGATCAGAACCGACTCGTACCCAGTCGTCAATTACGATTTATGTGTATCACATTCTCGTACCCAGAGCCCTTCTTATACGCGGTGCGACGAGGGGCTCTGGCCAAATCCATAACCGGATACCATAAAAACATGGTAAGAAAACAATGTCCGGTGTTAGAACTAGCCAATCAGATGCCAGTTCGGAATATGGATTTGGCCAGAGCCCCTCGTCGCTCCGCGCGTAAGAAGGGCTCTGGGTACGAGAATGTGTGGATCAGTGGACGGAGGTGTCCCATCATGCACCATTATTTTGTTCAATCCTCATTTGAGGAACTGGGTACGAGTCAGAGATCAGAAGGTGTGGAGTGGTAGACTTGCAGACGTGAGGGAAGCAATGTTAAGATGACATGGATAAGTAATAAGAAGAGATGAAGGAGAGCTTAAAAATACATTATGGAATGAAGAGATCAAAAGAGGGGTTGAGACGGTGTGGACACGTAATAAGTAGTGATGGAGAGCAGATGAGGGACATTATGAAGCTAGAGATAAGAGAACAGAGGACGGTAAAGATTACAGAAGAAATGGAAAGACTGTATAAAGGAGAGAAGAATAAGAAGAGATGAAAGAGAGCTGGTCAGAGCCTTCACAAGATGTGAGGTGGTAGACATTGCAGAGAACGTAAGAGAAGCATGGTTGGGATGGTTTGGACACGTAATAATAGATGAAGGAAAGCTGGTCAGAGACATTATGGAATGAAGACAGAGGCCGCAGAGGCATTTCGAAAGTGGCCAAGAGGGGCACTTACGAAAATTTTTGAAAATATGGAGTCTCTATAACGTCGGAAAAGGCCTTTACAGAGTCTTTACTACTACAGAAAGGGCACTTTCTTTCCAGCAAGAGAGGGCATTCATTCAAGAAATACTTTTTTCGTTCTTTAAATGGGATACTTTAGCCCAGAAAAAAGCATTTTTTCACTTTTAAAAAGTGGCCCGCACATGCCCCCATTGCCCCGTCCGGTTCCGCGGCCCCTGAATGAAGAGATCAAAAGATGTGGGGTGGTAGACATTGCAGAGAAGGTAAACGAAGCAAAGATGACATGGTATGAACACGTAATAAGAAGAGATGAAGGAGACCTTGTCACAATGAAGAGATCAAGAAAATTGCAGGAAAGGCAAGGGAAGCAAGGTTACGATGGTATCAACACATAAGAGATGGAGTTTGTCAGAAAATTACAGAATGAAGCGATCAAAAGATGTGGGGTGGTATGAAGCAAGGTTAATCGAGATGGTATGGACAGGTAATAAAAAGAGATGCAGAGAAGATGAGAGACATTATGAAGTTAGAGATAATTGAACGGGGTAGATTAAAGAAGAAATGGAAAGGCTGTATAAAAGAAAATCTTAAATCAACTACCAACCTGACGGAAGCTCAAAGACCGATTCATTTGGTTTCCATTCCTCGAAGGAAATATAATCCAACACATAATAATCATAATGCGTTGCCAGCAAGCTGTCGTAGCCTTTCATTTCGTATTTCACTGGACGAGGTGGTTTAGTATTCGTGATCCAAAATGTGTATACATTATTAAGATCGTAAGTTTTGTAATGATGCTGCCATTTTGAAGTCTCGGTTCCTTCAAAAACCTCAATGCCAACAAACTAGATGTGAATAAAGTTCATTTAGTGTTTTCATTGTTTGTACTACGATGTGTGATCCATCTAACAAATGATGCATATTTAGCATGAATCAGGACATACTTCTACATTACCTCAAATTCCTCAATGTTAGGTAGAATGGGCTGTGGTATTATTGGTATAGTTCTCGTTCCATTCCTATACCAACATCCTTTAAAATTTCCTCGTCTTTCATTGTACATTGGCACGACTTTGAACGCTGTTCCATGTGCACCCAAATCTAAACGTTGATACGTCTGGTCTGTACCTACATTGCATGAGCGTAAAATGCAACGAATTTTCACACCATTTTTTTTACGACTGAATCCACTTTTACGTCACATTGCGCATAATGATCTTGGGAAATCGTGCATCGAAATCACAAAACCGTTCACATGCGTTAAAGCCTGTTTTCCACTAGCGAAATTTGTCGCGCGAATCTTTTGTCTTATAAGCTCTCTGCTGGACTATAATTAGATTTTTAAATAAAAAATTCGCTTCGCGCGAAGAAATTCGCTAGTGGAAAATAGGCTTAAGGCCCATTTCCAACCAGGAAAATTTTCCGTAAAGAAAATTTTGTAAAATGTGATTAGCAGACACAAATTTTCCGTCGGAAAAAATTTTGAAGTTGAAAATTTTCAGCTTTTAACAACGATATTTTCGGAAAATGTTCTGTCCGTGGAAAATTTTCTTTAGTGGAATTTTTCTATACGTCGACAAATTTGAATAAATACTATTTATAAGAGTTACGATTTGACATTATAGTGAGGGTAATTTGTATATCAAACATGGTATGTTCAAGATAGAATGGAGATCCGGAGAGATATTAAAATTAAACCTAAGAGAATGCTCAGGATAGAATGATGAATGCTCAGTCAAGTTGACATGGATACATTCCAATAGAAGGGCGGAGGATGAGATATTGTGAAGAGAGATCTGAGACTCAAGAGAACGTTCAGGATAGAATGAAGAATATTCAGTCAAGTTGACATGGACACACGCAATATGACAAGATAGAGATATTGTGAAAAGAGATCTGCGTGTGTTAAACCGAAGAGAATGCTCAGGATAGAATGAAGAATATCCAGTCAACATGGTTACACTCAATAGGACAAAGGATAAGATAGAGAGATGCTGTGAAGAGATCTGGGAGTATTAAACCTGAAAGGATGTTCAGGATAGAATGAAGAATATCCAGTCAAGTTGACATGGACACACTCAATAGGACAGAGGACGAGATATTGTGAAGAGAGGGATATTAAATCTATGGGAAGAGGATGCTCAGAGTAAGTTCCAGTTAAACTGCCATGAAGATATTCAAATGGAAGAGACAGATATATATTGTGCAAAGTCCTGAAGGTACCAAACCTAACAAAAGCCGCCCAAGGTAGAATCAACAGGCATCAACGTGACTAACCAATCATACAAGCAAGTGTGGGGGAGAAAATTACGATAGACAACAATCCAGCCATATTCTGAGATCAGGTGCTTCACTTACCGTAATAAAAGTCAACTCTACTCCTTTGATCTTTACGACTGAACCATACTTCAAACGGTTCTTTTATTCCACTATGAGGTAACCTTAGTAACCCTGTACTGTGATAGTTTACTGTAAACACAGGCCGTGGATGCCTGCGAATCATTCGACGAAAAACCGTAACAGCCCTGCCGAATTGGAGTATCCCGCACTTGTTTATAATAACACAAACGCAGCATAATAATAACACTGTAAATGAACAATTAAAAATACGTGATCCACACGACATCAAGCACTCGGTAAAAATTGAATTTTACTGTGAAGAAAGTGTACGGTATATCTTCCCGTTTTAAGCAATATATTTCATATTAGTGCTTCAAAATTGCCATCTGAAACTTTCATATCCAAGCATTATTATTAACTTCAATGCGATATTCGCAGGTACCCGTTAATGGTATTGCTTGATGTCCTCAGGATTGGACCTTTAGCATGTGGGACGACAAAGCGACGACGACCTTTTGGCTAGAACAAAGCCCTTCTAAGAAACCTGTCGAATATTATCCATTGTACGAAATTAATACAGTTTCAGGAGAAAAGGCAGGCCTTTACAGTCGAGAAGTCTTCTACCACTTCTCACCGCATGAAATGCAAGTGTTGCGTACAAGGTGTGAATATATTTTGTTTGCGGTTGGAAACAGAGCGAGGACGTCTACTTTTCTACACGATCATGAATTTCATTGTATAGCTAAATGTCTCTAGAGATTCAATCCATATATACGAGGCTATAAATGGACAGCGAGATTTTCAAAATAATGAAAAGACAATGGAACAATCCGATCAATGACTCATGACTGGATGGCATGGAAAACAGTGGGATTTTCAAAACAATGAAAACCGCGGTCAAGCAAAGTTTTCAGCTTGCCCAGTGCGGACACACTCAGAGACAACTTCGCAAACATACTTCTTCACCTAAGTGCATAACATCAGAAACAGAAAAATTCAATGAAAAGACATTGGAACATTTTGATCACTGGATCAGATGATATGGAGAACAGTGGGATTTTCAAAACAATGAAAAGACTTTGGAACATGAAACACTTGATGGCACATAATGAAAAAATAATAAAGAAAAACCGTTAAAACGATCAACTTTCTTGATTATATAAATAGCTTAATAATAATATA